CCCCAAAACCCCAAAACCCCAAAACCCCTAATTACCCAATCAATACAATATATTGAAAAGGAGAATTAATATAATTTACGAATGAATAACTTAATTTTAAAATTCTAAATATAAAATCAGAAATATTGAGACTACATTGAATGGGATTCAAATACTTTTACTATCTCCCCTTGAGAAGAATTTAAACACTAAGAAACTTATAACGATTAAGTAATAAGCAGAAATAAGTCAGAATTTTCAGCTCTTCATCAAACTAAGACAATAATTAGAATAAAATAAATAAAGATAGCAATGAAAGCCTGATATACTCTTGTTAAGCTCATATAAACACATAAAAAGCATTTTAGATAGATCAATAGCCCAAGATTTAAGTAAAAGTTCAGCAAAATATAGAAAGAGACAAAGTTTCAAAGCAATTAGATGTTAAGAAGAATTCACAGCCTGGCAGGCAAAACCTCAAAACAATTAATATTTTACCTCGGCTATAATTGAATAATTCAAAGATTAGCAAAATCCGATTCGGTAAGTAAATGTAAATATAAAAATTAATTGGATATAGATTAATTTCATATGAAATTGCAGAAAGAACTAGATGAGGTGAAAGAAAATTAACTAAGTTTTCCAATTAGATAGCATGATTTCTAAAAGATGGGAGTTTATCTTAAGTACTATCTGAATAATTATGGGGATCCTTTCTAAGATAATACAGATTACAATCAACTCAGAACAAGATAATTTGAGAATTAGGTTATAAGATACTTTGGTGAATTGTACAAAGTCCCGTAAGAGTGCGAATTATGGGGTTATATGACTTCAGGGTCAACAGAGAGTAATATGCAAGCAATATATTTCGCCAGAGAGTATTTTAAAAATCATTAAAATGTAGCTGTAATTTATACAGATAAGACTCACTCATCTCTAAATAAAGCCATTTACTATCTTAAGTTGGACTTTTTCGGCCATGTTGCGAAATCATTAAATCTGGAGCCCCCAGTAGGAATGAAAGAGTGGCCAGACAAAGTTCCTCACAATTCAGCAGGACAAATGGATATTGATTCTCTGAAAACAATTTTAAAGCCCCTTGCAGAGAAAAAGATCCCAGTTTTAATAATTTCGAATGTAGGCACAACTTCATCTTGCTCATTTGATAACACAACTGAAATAATAAAAGCATTGAAAACTTAGGAATTTTATAAAGACTCGAGAAATCATTGGATCCATATTGATGGTGCATGGTGCGCTCCATACATAAGATTTCTTTAAATAGCATCAACAACCTAAAGATATAAAATTTTGCCAACTAAAACAATCAATGAGGCCAAGTTCGATTTCTCATTAAATGAAGTGAAAAGTATCACAACTAGTATTCATAAATGGATTCCTTCTCCTTTTCCTTCATCAGTACTACTAATAAAGGACAAATATTTAATGCCTTCAGATCATTTATAGAATTCTTATATACTAGGTTAAGATTATACACTAACTACCTCAAGAAATGGACATGCTCCCCTGTTTACATGGGATTATTTAATGAAAAAAACATTGAATGATCATTTAGATGATGCAGTAAATGCATATAGTATGGCTAATTATGTTTGCTCTAAACTTATAGACATCCAAGATTAGTATAATGTTGATCTAAGAATATAAAAGACATAAATAGGATTAAATATCAGATTTAAGAAGCCAAGTGATGATATTTGCTACAAATACGGATTGATGGTGATGGGGGATGAGGCTCTTATTTTTATTATGCCGGATAAGACGAAACAATTATGTGATATGTTTTTGAGTGATTTACGCAATGAAATGAGAATTAGAAAGCTATGATACTTTTAATACATTGCATAACTTAGACTTATTAATCGATGCATATTTATAAATAAAAGATTAACATTCAAATTCAATGTCTATTTAGGGGTTTTGGGGTTTTGGGGTTTTGGGG